CATCATCATCATCATCATCATCATCATCATCATCATCACTTTGCCATATGCTCTGTAAAATATTGTTTGTTGTAATATTTGAAGTGAAAAGAAAAAGCTACACTAATCTCCAGTATAATTTTTAAATAATTTGAGAGAATGTTTTACTGGAGATTTGCTTAAAATTAGCTAAATTATATTACAAAATATTATTTAGTTAATATATAATATGTTTTCTTTTCCTGCGGACGTATGCACTAAACTTCCTGTTACACAATTCTTTGATTTGTTGGCAAGGGTAGAATGCAGAAAATATTGTAAAAACTATCCTACTATGAACTTAAGTTGAACAATTTACTATTTGAAAAAGAAAGCAAGCTTCAAGATAAAATTATATCCCATACAGAAATATCAAACTAAATCAGAAGCTTACAGCTACAATCAATTCCACCGTTCAATGCTTAAAAACAATGATTCACAAAATATAACGGTGTTGTGAACCAACTGTAAAAAAATCGACCTTTCCTAACAACAACCTATGGAGACATTCGCTGAAGGTTTTATGCTTCATCACCTAAAATATTTCAAAACTTCGAAAAGCATTTTCTAAATAAATTTATAATTAATGGAACAAATAAATGCTGTTGTCTCTGTCAGCGTAATGTTTATGATTAATAATGTGTGGAAATTCTTTTAAAAAAATCTATAAGAAACTATTTATCGTTTCTTTTTTTCCATTATACTACCATACATTCAGGTCATACTTTGAATGCCGACAAAATGTTGAAGTGGGACACACAGCTTTAAAAGCAGATTCTTATTTTAATAATAGCCTTAGTAATTAGATCAGATTATACACAGTTGATGACTAGAACTAGTTGAGCAATTGAAAATATGAAAAAAATACAGTAAATATTGTTGAAAAACCAAAGGATGAATTCGTTTTTTAAAAGACAACGGACCAAAGTGCAGAAGAATCCCATTCAGTATGACTAAAAAAAGTACCGTTTAATTTTTAAAACATTCAAATCTTAAGAATGCGACTCCTTTCATCCCTTCATTCTTTTTTTTCTGAAAATTCAGGAGAAACAATATAACAGGACCGACACACATAATGATATTTTGGTATTGGAAAGAATACTACTTAGAATATAAAATGTACATACCCGTTGTAATATAATCTCTAAATGATGAATAAATTAATACAATACAAAAAGCTTCATATGAAATAATAGTCTAAAAAAGTTTTTTTTAATATGAAATACAAAGTCGTACTTCCTAACTGATTCTCTAGAAATAGATGCAGTAAAAAAGAGAATATAAAATCACTTGAAAAGAAAAAAAAAGGGTTTTTTGCTTATTTCGTTTCAAAAAAAACATTCCCGCAAATGCAATATAAGAGATAAAGTGAAATCGATGTATACAGGCACATTAAGTAAATCTAGTGCAAATCTAAAAATTCTAATAGGTCCTTTGGCACAATTTTTTTGTACTCGGCTTCATAACTGTTTCGTCGCACAACATTTGCGGCAAGACCCATAAGTGTAATATAACGACCTGGAAATTATTAAAGCTTTGAAAATCCTTCCAAGCTAGAAAAATTTAAATTTATTCGTATTTGTTTAAGCCCAAAGACGAAAAAACTTTCGCAAAAAATCAGAACAGAGATTAAAATCGGTCCATTGGACTGTTTTTTTATTTATATGATGAATTAATTCCACGTCTACTATTTATTAACACGATTAGAAAATGAAGAAACTTTCTGTTTTTACTCTAAAATAAATGATTTATTGGACGGTAAACGACAAAGCACTCAAGTTATTTTCAAAAGATTAAAACTAACCCAATTTGAGCTGTCCAGTTGCACGAGGTAGTTTCGCTGAGATCAACTCCATACATGTTTCGTCATCGTCATTGCGTGCTAGCAGAGTTGCACCATTTTGAAGCAGCAGCTTGACGATACTCAGCCTAGGATTACTACTCAGCAAAACCGTATGCAGTGGAGTGTTACCTAAACTATGTATATAAATTATTGCTCAAATTTTGGAGTCCAAAGCAATGGTTTAGCAAAAATGGGCTAATGAATAGCATTAAATTCATTACCCATATTCATAAATAAGCCTTGAAATTGGAATCTCTGCTAATATCACACAAAATCTGTCATTTGATACGATTTTACCAACGTACCCAATGAATTCTTTGTGTTTACATCAATTCCACTATCGATGAGCATAGTAATAATGCATGCACATGGGAAACGTGCTGTTACTGGTTTGTCAATATCATGACAAGCAGCGTGAAGAGGATATAAATTCAATGATTTCGAAACTAGTGTTAGGCGTGTAACAATATGTGACAAAGAAGTGTCAATATTCTCCTCATCAGCTTCTGTTTCTACAGTTGATGTCAGTTTGCTGTCTGCAGGAGAGAGACGTCGAATCTAAATAAATATAAATTTTACATAGCTTTACAACAAATAACAAAAGTTCATGTGTTTATTGCTAGCCGTTTTGTTGGCAAAAATTCAGATGTTTCAAACTGTAAATCCCGCAAGGAGAAAGCTGGATATGTACCAGAAGAAAGCCAGATGTGAGTAAGTTCAGCATTTTGCAAAAAATAAAAAAAATTAAAATTGAAAAGTTATTTATAATCTATATTTTCTTTACATATTTTTTTCCAGAGATGATTTTTTCATTTGGTTGCCTTATTGTTACGGATAAAAGTCAACGATAGAGAATAAATGCCAACCAAAAGAATCAATTGCAGGGAAGCAAGCATCAAGAATTCAATGCACCGGTTTTCATCATCCGTTTCATCAGTGATTTCATCTGTCTTAATTCTTATGTCACCATCATTGAATCTAAAATCAAAATGCTAAATAAACAAAGAGAAAATAATTACAAGAAATTAATAAGGATAGAAATAAAATATAGCTTAGGTTGAGATTTTATGATTGATTTCGTACATACGTAATATAAAACTTCAGCTTATCCTAACATCTCTCTTTCTCTCTCCCTCTCTTGTTCATAATCTAACATGTCCAAAATCCTTTGAGTGCCTTTTGAAACATATTAGTCAGTTATTGATCCTAAAAATTATTATATCTAAGAAAAATATAAAATAACCTTTCCAACTCGTACACAGCTTTTTCTAGTACATCCATTATGCATTTGCGAGAGAGTGGAGTAACTCTCACACCATCCGCATTAGCAATTATGATTCCTTCGTTTACCGTTAATATAAATGTGTCAATGAATGCTCCAATTGTAGAAACAGTTGATGGATGCAGTGCGCAAAGATGTTCTTGCTGAATTATTTCATTTTTATGCTCAGTTCTGTTATAAGTATTCATTTAGTTCAATCACAAGCCTGTCAAATTGAACTGTTGGAAGGATAAGTCCTTTCGAAGAATTAGTGGTGCCTTGAATCAAACCTTAATCTTTCTTTAGTGATGAGCAATTATTAATACGCAGAATACAACTTCTTTGGAAGATCAAAAGCTGTGAATGCTACTTAAGACAGTTAAAACCAAAATGCAAAAAATGAGGTGGAACTACCGACCTGTAGATGGAGAGCATGCATCCATAGTTCGAAACATCGATTTGTTTCACCCAAATCACAGTATACCGCACCACGGTAACGTATGAAATAATGTGTTTCGTGATGAGCTCCACCGATGATTCTTTCTCGAATAATTAATGCCTAAGGTCATCCATCATATGAATCATAAAAAAAGAAGGCGTGATGAATCAGATTCATTCCATTCCTATACTCACCTGCATTCTGATTGCATCAGGATCGCCAACTACATGACTTATGTCAGCAGCTGTGTCTATTTCGAACAAATCATCATAAACATGGAGAGCAGTACGCACACGAAGCGGCTCACCGTAGTTTATTGCTTCAAACCAAACACGTACGGCATTACTTAAATCCATCTTTTTATCCACTAAAGTAGCACCGTATAACTAAAACAGCATTATAAATTACTATGTAACGCATGCAGTCAATGAAATGTTTTTATGGATGCAATATCTAAAAAGCCCTACAATGTCTAGCAAGTATTTTCTTTGAAAAAATGAAACTTGATATAAATGAACGATAGTCACCATGTAACTCCACAAAATATGTTAAGTGATTTTTGCGCCACATAAATGTAAAATATCTTAACCCTACAGACCACTATGAACATAGACAGTAAGGGAATATGTAAGAGTTATTTTATTATGCAACTACTTTCCCAAGACTAAAATGTTAGATTTTCCAGTATAATATTCAGAAAGTTTTGCAGACATACTTTCAATGCATCTCTTGTCTCTTGATCTGTAGCTACAGCAGATAATGACTTAAGTACATCTTCATGTCCAGCCAGTGCAGCGCAATGCATCGGTGTCATACTACAATCATCTTTGACATTTTTTGCACCAGCTTTTAATAACATACATACAATTTCATTGGAACCAGCCTCCGCAGCGTCGTGCATTGCTGTATTTCCTGAAATGACTATTTTTGACCAAAGGATATTTCTGTTAAATTTGCAAATGAATTTGGCAAAAGCAAACCAGAAGAAACAGCCAATGTCTAGTCGTTTCTTCAAAAAAACTTCATTTTATTACGATCAACAGGGTCCAACACAAATAATTTATTAATATATGATTAAAGTAAATTGAAACACGCTTCTCAGCACATTCTAGTCACCTAAAAGTAATCTTTGTAAACATAGCGCAACCAGTGAATGTTCCCTTGTAAAAGAGGTAAGATAGTACATGTGATTTTTTAATTGCAAATGGCTATCACCTATAAAAAGATGGTGAACGTAAGGGAATTACTATCTCCTAGCAAGGAAGCTCTGTCCAGAATACGAGAACACTTTATTAGTTACAATGCAGTGCACAAGCGAATAACATTCGTGATCAGAAACCAGCCTTTATGAGGAAATTACCTTTCATTGATACCCGGCAAGGATCCGCTCCATGATTCAGCAAGAAGCGTACGATATCAACTCGCATTTTAAAAGCAGCAATCATCAACGGTGTATGCCCATGTCGATTAGCTAATTCGATATCAGCTCCTTTTTTCACCAGATATTGAACTAAATATGTATTATATAACCTGCTGTATTCTTATAACACGGACGATAACTAAACAAAGAGACAATTTTTTTCTGATTAATACCTATGTGGTAGTGACCATCATAGCACGCGCCTCGTAAAGGAGAACTGTTAGAGTGCGTTGTCTGATTGATATCGGCACCAGCTTCTTCAACAAGATACTGAACAATATCTAGATGACCTGCGGCTGCTGCAGCCCACAAAACTGGTGCTCCAGCTAAATATTTAACTCACTTTCTTAAAAAGATAGCTGAAATTCTGATCTGACAAGAAAAACCACCACTCATAGTAGAAAGTAGAATTCACTACAGTTCTCTATTCCCTCAAGTAATTCTAAATCATAAATTATTGAACGAAATAAGAGAGGAATGACGAATGAAGGAAACTGTTAAAATAAAGTGTTCAAATATGCCATCATCAAATTAAAATTACGCAAAACTAACGGATAATTTCACCATCAAATGTGACTGTTCCTGTGATTGAGACATCTGCGCCCTTTTCCAGCTGCAATATCTAAATTAATATAAAGATAAGTTCAGCTTAACAGCTAATAAGATTGTCAAATTATCAGTCAACGAAAAGATGACAAAGACATAAGAATCCAATAATTGACAATGCAAGTACTGCTAGAAAATTTCTCCTTTTTATCACATCCTTTTAATTCGTAAATTTAAAATATGGCATGATTACCAAATATTTAACAACATCGAAATGACCATTTCGAGCAGCAATGACAAGTGGCGGAGTTTGATATTTTTGTGATGACAAGCAATGATGAAGCCACTCGTGTGATCGATCTTCTAGGAAAATACGCAATCGTCGCAGATTACCATCCCGTGCCGAATTAAAAATAATAGCCCGGTATGCTTCCGGATTCATTTTGTGAAATCATACGCTATTAAACCGGACAACAAATCAGTACAAGCAACCACCCTATCTCAACATCCACCCTGACACTTCAAGGAATCACTGGTTGAGCTGCTTACTTCATGTCACATGATCTTTACGCAATAATTACGTCTCAGTCCTGATATCCTCCTTAAGATTTCCCGGTTTCTTCTAGGATTTTCCGGATAGCATCATTTACCTGAAACATCTTACTGTATTATAATAAATGATAATTAAATGATAAGATAAATACGCTGTCATTCATGATAATATAGTGATAAGACATATTGTCATGGAATTCAAATTTCGTTCGTTTGTTTATTTACTTTATGAATACAGAATTGTTTATTGTTTACCAATGCAACTTCTCATTTGTAGCAAAAGAGAGAGCTTAATTAATGAGCTAGAAAAATCTGACATGAAACAATCAAATTGCTATGCATAATTCGTATCTTTTTATGCTTAATCTGAAAAATGCGAAAAGAAAAATTAAGTGAGGAAATTAAGCAACGAAATAAATCACTAATTCGAAATGAACTACGTCCTGATTAGGGACTTCCTGAGGATCAAATCCTTGATCGAAATATAAAAATTTTATGAAAGATGGATAATGGAGGAAAAATAAAAAGTGTTGGCCAGCATTTGTTTGAGCAATTAATCGTCTTACAAATTAATTTTAAATTATTTAAATTTAATTATAATTATTAACAACAAAGTAATGACTCATTAAACGTCATTATTATGATAATTAACATTAAAAGAATTAATTTGTCAGGATGTTTACTATTATTGACAATCACGATTATCACTCATATGTATCAATCAATTGTATATTTATGATTTGCTCCAATGGTTATCATTAAGCTCATTCAAACTGTTATTGAATTATCACAGCTATCAGAAGTACTGAATCTATGATTGCCTATTTTAATAACCGTTATCAGTGCATAAAACATATTTTAAAGAAGAAAGCAATAATCATATCGGAATATTGTAATGATTGTTGATGATAAAGGCTGTTGATGACTTTTCCGTTTGCGATAATTGATCTTTCCAATTCTGTTCCATTCCATTAGTCGTTGACCCTAAATTGATGTTGTAATGCTATTTGTTAATTTTGCATACTATCATCGCTTTTTAAACTAATCATTTTCTTTCAATTCATCAAGATCGAATTAAAAAAATTAAAATTTTAAAATGAAAAAATTTCCAATCTTAACTTATTATTCTTACAATTTATATATCATAATTGAGAAATATTTGAAATTAGAAAAAAATCAATCTTTTTTCTAAAAAAATTTTCTTGTTGATGTATTTTTACAACAACAGTAATTTAATGTTTCTAATAAGTAATTCATCTATTCAATCAATAATAACCATTAAAAGTAATGTGAATGAGCGATGCAGAATGGAAAAAAAATGATTTCAATCAAAGTATCGTTTACATTGGTCGATATGATTCATCCTTTCGTCCAACTCACTGACCACTATTGCTTGTAAGTTAACATATAAGTGTAAAGAATTTGTAAGTTGAGTATAAATTTGAATCGCTATTCTGATATCCATCACCATGGTTATAATAAAAAGTTAATTTTACGATGTTACGAGCAATTGTATACCATGTCATATTTAAATGTAAAATATTTAATTATCATTTATATCGAACAATTGTCTACATATATGATAAAAATTTTAGTGAAATTTGAATCAAAAAACTAGAATAAAATTTGAAATCGAATTTTTTTCAATTTATAATATCAGCATATTTAAACTTCAAATATCTAGCATACCTAATTAAAATATGTTGAATAATATTTTGATGAATATACTTATCATCTCTTTCTTTGCCCTTTATATTTCACTTGTTATCTTTACCTTTTCATGAATTAATTCATTCAAGTATTAATGATTTAATTTCAAATTTGCCAAATCATCCTTTTTTTTTACACTTTCCATTCATTTAATTAATAATATGAGAAATTTTTGCAAATATATTTCTCATCGTAAACTGAAGATGCAATATTTATCGCAATTTTGCAAGAATGTTTTGACAGATGATCATTTCAAATAAATTCTTTCTAACGTTTAAACTTCGAAAATGAAAAGATTTATATATATAATTTGTTTTGGTTTTGAAATTTAACTAGAATTTGCAGATTTTTTTTCTTATAGATTTTAAAAAAATTTGCAAAATAATCATTAAGTATCAGTATAATGATAATTAAAATTTGATTAATAAAACCTACATACACACACACATACACATCCATCATAAATACGTATGACAAATGACAATAACCTTCTTGTTTTTATAGTTTTCCTTTTTGTTTTGATTAGTTTCGATCTAATTTATCATTACTTAAATCACTGATAAGAATGCTGTTAGTAAAATTTAAAAATAAAATAAAATGGGTAGGTGAATAGTGCACACATTTTATTTTAAGATAATGATAAGTGGAACCATTCATTCATAGTGATGCAACCAATTTAACAACAAACTTCTCAGTTATCATAAATCAAAACAAAAAAAAACTTTTTTTTGACATTATTTATCTTAAAATTATTTTTTCGAAACTTTTTCAACGCTTAAATAGTTTCAGGATGTGTGTAATATAAAGCGTTCTATCAAAAAGTAAAAAAGGAAAGCGCACATAAAAAAATAAAATAACTTAATTCAAATAGTAATTTGAAAATTATTTAATTAATTAATGAATTATTATGCAAGAGATATTGGGATGTGAATCGTTACATGTGTTATTGAAGTGATACCAATTAATTAATCTAATTATTTGTATGAAAGCATGACTGTTCAGATCAATGAATGAAAATGTAAGTTTTTGTAACATTCCATATATAATTTGAATTTTGTTTGCGTTGATTTTTTTTTTTGTTGAATTCAATATCTTTCTTAGTTGATTTTTCAATTTTATTTTCATGTCAGTGAAAGTGAAATGGCAAAATGAAACAGCTTCAGTTTTACCGTAAATTGGAGGAAGTCTGAAGGTTACAACTGGTGTGCTAATGGATCAAAAGGATTGGTAGTAGCTGAACACCTGGTAGGAGCCTAAAGCCGATAAAGAATGATGGATGACTGGAAGAGGCGTTAAGTGGGAAATTTCCGTTAGCGCAGATAGCCGGATGAGAGAAGGCGTGGTCCCTTTTCCACTCCCGCTCCCCCGATACCACCAACTTCATCTTCATTGTGATGATCACGATCTCGGATAAAGCTTACTGAGCTGACGCTATCTTAATCACTCATTGCTCATATATCACATTCACCGTATACCTGTTAAAAGCTTGGAATATCACCTTTGACCTCTACAAACTTCTTACTGTCATCCATGGAGCAAATAGACGATGCAACAAGTACTTTCTATGCTGATTATTTCATCGACTACGGCAAATGTTTGTTCTAATTTTTTTTTCTTTTCAATTTTTGGAAGAATTTTCCGAAATTTAAAAATTAATGGAGAAGATTGAAAGCAATTTTTTAAGAAAAAAAACTTACAATGATAATTTGTGTCTCGTTAAGAAGATAACTTTGAAGTAAAGAATAATACGTCAAAAAGAAAAACACAGAAATTAGAATCAAATAATAAAATTCAATTCTACTTGAAATAATTTTAATATAAAAGAAATGAAATGAGAAAGTCAATGATTTCTTTATTCATTTTTAATTGTGTTACTTATTTCATTTGCTTAATAGTTGCTGTTGTTGTTGTTGTTGTTTTTTTTTTGTCTAATTCATATAAATTCATTTTGCATAAGAATTTCATCATTTATTATTGGCCAATTCGGTTTACCATTAAACAGATCTGACAATTCCTTCATTTGATCATTCCTATTTTGAAAAGATCGCAAGAACTGATAGTAATTTGAACATGAGAAAAATCTGATCAATGCATGCTATGTATAATACAGAAGGCGTTTGATCTATGCATGATACAGATGAATTATTTGCTATGAATAAATTTCGGCTCTATTTACAATTTTTGAATTCTTTTCAAATATCTATTTTTTTCCTCTGGTTCATGAGAGAAAGGGAGGAAAAAAAAGAAGGCGAATTATTTGGGATTAAATTTGCAAATTCGTTTTATCAAGAATTATGCCTTTTTGAATGAATCAATTTTTAATCTGTTCTTTTTTTTTCTAATCACAATTTCAAAACTTAAAATTCTTCCGGTTAAGTTATAACAACAATTATGCTAAGTTGACGCTTTACATTACATTTGAATATTATGATAGTACCGCAATGAAGAAAGAAATTTGTAAATGTAAATAATCATCAGTATTTCAATGATAGCAAATCATTGTAAACAATATGAGCTTATAAAATGATACATCTCAATGAAGTCAATTTTTGAAATTTAAAAGACCTTTTTTGACATATTTATTCTGCAAACTGACAACTTTCCCCTTCTTTTTTCTTTTTTGTTTGGATCAATTTCTGAAATGATGAAAAATGGTTAGCTCTTTTCAAACTCCCAAAAGAGAATAATAGAATTGAATTGAATTGAATAGGAGAGTTAGAGTAATAATGGTTGCTTTTTTTGGAAAAAAAATTTCGAAATGTTGAATTAAATTTAAATTACTCTTTTATGATAAATGGATATGATCAAATCTTTATTTTGGTTCTTTATTATGGTTCTTTATTATGGTTCTTTATTNTGGTTCTTTATTATGGTTCTTTATTATGGTTCTTTATTTCGGAAAAAAAATTTCAAAATGTTGAATTAAATTTAAATTATTCGTTTTATGATAAATGGATATGATCAATGATCGGATATGACTAAAATTTATAATCTTAAAAAGTGATAAATAACTGGGTTATAATTAGGCTTAGTAGGAAAAAATAAATTTCGCTTTTAAAAATAAATGAGCATTTTCAGACAATGTAATTGGTGATTGGGAAATCAGAAGAGATGAAGTAGAAAATACTGCTAAATGTTGGATTCTGTACTTATCATATTGTTAAGATATTAAATTATAAG